AAAAGGCCATAAATAGTTAAAAGCAAAAGGCCTGGTTAAAAAGGAATGCTTTTTGCCTGGCATCTGAAGATATGTAACGATAGCGCCAGGTGAGCAGAGCATTCCACAAACAGAGAGCCTGGAAAATGCCTTGCTGCATTTTATCTTGTTGTGATAGTGTTGGTGTCCTGCCCCCCCCCCCCAAAAAAAACCATTAAAAAAACTAAGACCCTGAGGCCTTGCATAAAAATTGTGGGCAATAAATAAATAGAGATAGATAGATATAGATAGATAGATAGATAGATAGATAGATAGATAGATAGATAGATAGATAGATAGATAGATAGATAGATGATAGATAGATAGATAGATGATAGATAGATAGATAGATAGATAGATAGATAGATAGATAGATAGATGATAGATAGATAGATGATATAGATATAGATGGTAGATAGGTAGGTAGATAGATAGATAGATAGATAGATAGATAGATAGATAGATACGGAGAACAACAATGACAGCATATAGCTTCCTGTGCCATGAGCTAAGATTCTTGGCAGAACTTTTTTCAAATATTGGCCTAAGATGATGGATGCAAAGTCAATGTGCAAGTGACTGTAAGCATTATTGATCCAAGTCATTTCCCAGACAGAAAGGGCACAGAAACCAAACCAGAAGAAGGAAGAATGCAGTCATATTCAGATGTGCACAAAATCATAGGCACAGATATACCAATCAATTGCTAGTCTGTTTATGCGGATAGTGAGACTCTAGTTCAAATGTCTCGTGCTAGGTGGCAGCAGGATGTACATCATAGTGCTTACACAAATAACCACTGACTCAAACCTTCATCCCATAAGCCATTGGGAAGTACTATATCTAGTATAAATCTCACTAATGACATGGGTGCATATTATCAGTTGCTAATTTAAAATTTAAAATTTAAAACTAGATAATGTTTCCCACCCGAGGTACAGGTTAAGTACTTAATTCATTCCGGAGGTCCGTTCTTAACCTGAAACTGTTCTTAACCTGAAGCACCACTTTAGCTAATGGGGCCTCCTGCTGCCGCCGCGCCAACGCTGCACGATTTCTGTTCTCATCCTGAAGCAAAGTTCTTAACCCGAGGTAATATTTCTGGGTTAGCGGAGTCTGTAACCTGAAGCGTATGTAACCTGAAGCGTATGTAACCCGAGGTACCAGTGTACATGAAACTTGCTTTATACCCTTATGCCTGGCCTTACTTTCTGGCTTGATCTTGCTATCTTCTCAATATATGGTCCCCAAAAGCTGTATGCAGAGAACATTGGCATACCGCTGTGGTGTAGTGGGGCCATTGTTGGAATTGGACTAGGATTGCAGAGATAAAGGCTCACTCAATTTATCATTTCTCAGCCTGACCTACATCACATGAATAAAATGGAGGGGGTGAACCATGTACACCACTTTCAGCTCCAATACTTTCCCAAAATGGGTGTTGATGAGCTCAACAACATAAGGATACCAGGCTAACTCTCTGGTGTCTAAATACAGACCAAAGGCCAAGGGGACAGGAAAACATGTATTTTTTAAAGAACAATCCTTCAGCTATTAGCACACTCAACCCTTCAGCTTTTCTTTGCAGTCAAGAGGGCCCAGAATTCCATGCTTTATTACTAGTCTGAAAGAGCCTTGTAGCAAACAAAAATGTATGCTTGCCTTCCTCCCCTATGGGTTTAACCCTAGTACTGAATATATTTCTTTGTATATCATTCTAATACGTTCTTTCCCCTCATCCCTACTTTTTTATTCTTATTTATTGTCTAGTCAGATACTTGCATAACTTCCAGCCTGAACTATCGACATCCCTATGGACCATTTGGGTAGGACTTGCTTTATTTTAATCGTTTTCTTTGTATGCTTCTCTTGTGCACAGAGACCAGAAGGAAAATAAATCAATTTTATTTTTTTAAAAAAACCACAGTTCTGGGTGTACTTAATGTGAGACAATTTTGAAAACAGGCAATTTCCAGAGTCCCAAAGAGAAAATGAAAGCTTGAATGTAAGAACCTGGCTTATGATTCAAAACCGACCGCCCCATCCCCCGCCCACCACACACAATATACTGTTCCAAACCTTGTCTTCTATGGAGGATTCTGATCCATTTGCAGTGAAATTTAAAATAATTGCACTTATGTTGTTAAAAATTTAATATGAACCAGCAACATTTTATAGATATCCATGTCACTGACAATGGACCTTCCACCTTAACTTAAAACATAGTAGTGGGGAAATGAAATAAAACAAATATACCAATATCTTCTCTTGTGGTTTAGTCAACTCTTAGATATTTATCTTAAGAATTATTTAGGCATTGATGCATACAGAAGGCACTCACTGATAAGTTGTAGCTTTTTATCTTGTCTTAGCTTCATTTAAGCAACTTGCTTGTCTTATCTGCATTCAAGGAAAACAGATGTGGGGAACCTTTGGTCCTCTTGATGGTCGTCAGCCCCTGCAGGCATGGCGAATGGCCAAGGATATTGGGAGTTGTACTTCATCAACATCTGGATGGCCAAAGGGAGCACACAAGAGGTTGTCTCTTTTATCTTCACAAAACCCTGGGAGTAGGAGAATATGTGAACACAAATGGAGCCTGGCTGGATCAGACCAAATGACAACCTACTCCAGCATTCTCACTGTGACCAACCAGATACCTATGGGAGAAGTGGGACATGATCCACAGCAAATGGTATTCTACTGCTAGACTGTGGATGCATTGCTCTTATACACTTACTAGTGAGTGAGTTCCACTGAAGTCTTTGGGGCTTACTTCAAAGTAGAAATGCTTAGAAATGCAGTATAGGATATAATGATGTGGCCAAAGCCACCAAATAAGCTTTAAGTCCAATATTTCCTGGAATAAACATGCATTTAAAGTAAGTTTACCTACACTGCTTTGGTTGCTTAACTCTTAAATCAATGAACTCTTACAGCCAGTTCATTGATGCTTCACAGTAGAAAGTTCTGAACATTCCTACCTTACCGCTTACCCACAGAAAAAGTGAGTGCCTGTTATTAGCCAAGCTATATTATGGACATCATACATCTCTTACCACTGCAGCAGGGAGTGTCTTACACGGAGTCCAGAGCTATTGAATCAACTCTCCATGAAGCAGGCAAAGTTGATAAGACTTGGGACCAAAGTTCTCACTAAAATTTTGCCATAGTGAATTTTTGAGGCACATTGGGAAGTTCCTGGTCAAAAGAAACCTATTCTGAAGACCTTTGGGGGAGAAACTAAAGGAATTTTAGTAAGAATGGAGACCCTTCTCAGGCATATTCCTCGCCTCTTTAGTTTGCACATTACCACCCAAAGAGTATTCAGTAGAAGTTACTTATTTATGACTTTATCATATGAGAAATTAATACAACAATCTTGCTGAAATAATTATTTTGGGGTCAAGGCAAATGGTGCAGACCTGGAAAAAAATGAATCAGTTCAAGCTAAGGTGTCTTAATAGCAGTGGAGGCAAATAGTGTTGAATGCAATAAAAAGTACTGCTGATAAGAGTAAATAAAAATAGAGGATTTTGATTTGGGCAGTGAAGATCAGAGCTTCCCAACTGTGAATCCTGGCATTCAATCAAGTTTTCCTTTGCTTTGTTAAAATTGGTTTGCATTCCTGCCATGCAGTTCTCTTGAATATTTGACAAGGCTTTTGGGCTATTACCCTTGCCATCAAAAATATTTTTATACTTAAGGCATAATCAGTTTCCCAATCTTATCAAACTCTCTTCCTACAAATTACTCCAACACCAAAATGAGTTGTCCCCCTCTTGCTTTAAATATTAAATCTTATTGCTACTGTTCTGGTAAGATTACAAGATGCAACCACCAAACAATAATAGGTTTGTTGCCATAGAAACTCTCTTGACTCATGAATCAGAGTTTTAAAGGAGGGGAAATGCCAAGTTAGGCAACAAGTAAAAACCACAGGAACAAATGCAGTAAAGTGGTGGCGGCATAAATAAAACTAGTGTTGTGAAAAGGAAAACTGAGGAATATCTGTCAATCTCTACAGAAGCTGTGGGTGCCCAGTTCTACAAGGAAGCATCTAATGAGTCCTTCATATTTTTGGGTGGAATCAGGTGAGGTGAAAAAGCAATTGGGTAAGAGTCCGGGTAGAAAGTAAAATATTCAGGCAATGTGAAATAATGGGGAAAGAGAATGACCTAGGAACATGCAGTATGCTTGAGGTCCAAAGTTGCTCCCAGTATTAGGGGAAAGAGGCTTAACTAGGCCTGGGGTGGTTTGTTGGTCTCCAAACCATATCAGCACCAGCCATCATAGCTCATGGTCAGGAATGATGGGAGTGATAGTCCAGCAATTTATGGAAATCAAAAGTCTAGCCATAGTGTATGGCTGAGAAAACATAAATGAAAGTAGAATTCCTCTTATGGACATATGCTTTAAATATAAAACAAATGTTTATTGGGAAGTCTCCCTTTTTAACAATATACGGTAATTTACTGCCACTACAAAACATCACCCATTTATGGCCCATGTGATCAACTGAGATTATAATTATGGACAAATTTATGAGTTGTTAAGTAAATGGCCAATGTGTTTATGAGGAGCTTATCTATTACAACTATTTCACACAGCCCATCTATTAGGTAATATTTGAAATTATAGTAGAACACATATGGAGATTTTTTCCCCCAATTGATGGAAACCTGAGTTCTTTACTGTAACTCTGGGCCCCCATAATTTATTTATTTTTAATGTAGATTCAAATGAGAAACAATTGCTTTAAATATAGTATAAAAATATTTTATATTAATTGAGCTTTTTAAAATATCTTAGTATTTAAAAAATAGTTTTCTTCTTCATATTTGTTTCTACAAGATTACAAGTCAGTTCCTTAGTTCTTCTCCATAACACGCTGAAGCTCAATTCATATAACACGTATCTCGGAGTAAGGCCTATTGAAATCAAATAAGGAACTTCCCCTTCTGGTGTACTTTGGGGATGGATGTTATTTTTGATTTCATTTCTATACCACTTTATATCTCAAATATCTCAAAGCCATTTACAGCCTACATTTAAGCATCAAATAAAACAACCCCACAAAAAAGATACAGAGGAAAGTCAAATAAAAAGCATACATTCAAAGAAACATAATTAACAGGAAGCTAAAATATTATGTCAAAGATTTAAAAAGAAAACATTACTAAAGGAACACACATTTCTATCAGCATAATTACCAAGAGGATAGAATATTATTATGAGCATAGAACATATCTACTGCTGTTGCTGCCAATCCTGCCAATGATGGTTTATGGAGGATGGTGGTTGTGGAAGCTCAGGCTTGATGATCTGGGTCTGCAGTAAGAGACAGCCAAGGTGTTCTCTGGCCTCTTCAGCAACCTTAGCTTTCGTAACTGGAGTCAATCAGGGCCCCGCACTGCACAAAATACAAACATCAGAGCATGGGATATTCCACTGTGTATCTAGTGTAGTACTCTTTAGAGCATAGTAGAACATGATTCTGTTTTAAGTAAAGTATAATACGGTACAGGGGAGATAAGCAACATTCAAATTGTCAGCAGAGACTTGTATGCATTATCATAGGAAGTCTCTGAAGGGCTAAGCTTAAAGTAAAACATCAGCTCTGTCACCATGAATAAGACCTTTCACAAGGAAACATCTTTTTACTGCTCAACGAGTTCTCTTCAAAGCTAGTTTCTTTTTGATATACTTCGGCAACATGTGCCTATCCCAAAGCTCACTTCCAAATCCTCTCTGGAATATGAATCACGTCAAAGAAGGTCTTTTCAGCCTCTGAAGACATCTCTGTGTCCATTACTCTTGTGCCAATGAAATGGAGAGATAAAACAGCTTACTCAGAGCCTTATAATACATGGCATAACCCCTACTGTCCATAGCGTTTTCTTAGACTGGAAACAGTACAGTGACATTATGAAATCTTAACTCTACAAAATCCTAGTTAGAAAGATGATATCCAGATAAAAATGCATTAGTCGTCCCATAATAACTGCTATTTTCTTTTAAAGTAGATATCCAAATGTTGAATATTTTTTTCTTCAAGTTCAAATCCACTGAAGAATTTAGGAAATATAGACATTTAATGCTATTCATTTATCTAAATCAGAGATGGTGAACCTCAGGCTTGAGGGCCAAATACAGCTCTCCAGGCCTCCCTTATCTGCTTCTCATATTATGCCTTCTCCTCAGGCTGTACTTCTCACCGTCTCTGCACTGTACCCTTCTCAAGAGCTTTTGAATGGATGTAATGTATCTTTGAATTGTGATAATACCTCTTGCATGTAAGTGGCAGTAACGGGAAGAAGGTAGGAAATTGCCACAGTATGAGCAGAACTCTGCTTGTGTTTCTTTACCTCCGAGGCATCATGATGATTATTTCCATAGCAGAACTTATTACAGTTTATCTACTATGACCAAAAAGGGACGCGGGTGAAAAAGGGATGCGGGTGGCGCTGTGGGTTAAACCACAGAGCCTTGGACTTGCAGATCAGAAGGTTGGCGGTTCGAATCCCCGCGACGGGGTGAGCTCCCATTGCTCGGTCCCTGCTCCTGCCAACCTAGCAGTTCGAAAGCATGTCAAAGTGCAAGTAGATAAATAGGTACCACTCCAGCGGGAAGGTAAATGGCATTTCCGTGTGCTGCTCTGGTTCGCCAGAAGCAGCTTAGTCATGCTGGCCACATGACCCAGAAGCTGTATGCCAGCTCCCTCGGCCAATAAAGCGAGATGAGCGCTGCAACCCCAGAGTCGGCCACGACTGGACTTAATGGTCAGCAGTCCCTTTACCTTTACTATGACCACAATATTTGGTTGGGATCAAGATGGGTCCAGGGTACTGCCAAATTTGGCTTAGTGTCCATTCAAGTCTGCTTCCATCTCCCTCTGAGCCTCTGCCAGGATAGCTCAGTTGGTAGAACATTAGACTCTTAATTTGAGGTTCATGGGTTCGAGGCCAACATTGAGGAAAAATGATTTCAGGGTTGGGGGAGGGATTCAGATCTATTTCACTCCCAAAGGTATCTGCCATCAGAAGTGCAACAGGTTCTGAGTTTTCTAACTGGGCTTGGAGACAGCCAAGCTACTTGCCAACCTTTTAGGAAAAGAGCTCAGTTAGTGCAGCAAAATCACAAGCCAAGGTTGGTGGGAGAGGTTGCCCATTACTGAAAGCCCTAAGCATGATCGCCTGTTTTGCTTGAAAATATGCTATCAAGCTTGGCTCTTCTTAAACTGCCATATCATACTAAAAGAAGTTGCACTTTTGACTAAGAGCCAATCGTGCATTATAACGTTAACTTGATGAAATGTGTTCCCTGCCCATTTATCATGCACTCTAATCTAATTGAATGTGATAATGCAAGCACAGTGACCTAGGAAAAAAAGAGCAGGTGATTGACCAAAATCATTTTTAGAAGTGTACAAACATTTGGAATTGACTTTGTTAATAAAGCAACCTTGCCCAGAATGAATGGCAAAGCTGACAATGAGCCAGTACGGGGTAGAGTGCTAGCCTTCAATTTATTTAATGTGGCAGCTGATAGGATTTGACACCTTTTTCACCTTTGGAGAGTTGCACCATATAAAATAATATCACATTAATAATAATTAAAGATTATTATTCACCCAAGCATATTATACAGTGGTACCTCGCAAGACGAATGCCTCGCAAGACGAAAAACGAAAGAGTTTTCCGTTTTTTGAGTCGTTCTGCAAGAAGAATTTCCCTATGGGCTTCCTTCGCAAGACGAAACGTCTTGCGAGTTCTTGCGAGTTTGTTTCCTTTTTCTTAAAGCTGCTAAGCCGTTAATAGCCGCTAAGCCGCTAATAGCCGTGCTTCGCAAGACGAAAAAACCGCAAGACAAAGAGACTCGCGGAATGGATTTATTTCGTCTTGCGAGGCACCACTGTAGATGGGATAAATATATATGTATATCTTGGTGGGAATACATATAAATCGATTTTTAAATAATGCACACAGAGAGTGTGGCTATGCTCGCACTCACAAAACGTGATTTTTCCTGTTTTTCTCTACCCATTGCAGTTTCTGGTGTCTCCTGAGAGTTGAGAGACCCTCTGAAATGGTGTAGGATGTGGCATGAACAGCTGTAGTAGTTAAGGTGGCATGGTGGAAATTGGGTACTCCACTTTCTATACATTATACTACAAGGAAAAATCACTGGTGGAGACAACTCATGATATTTGCTGTTCCCTTATTATATGGGGAGCTGCACTCACTGACCTTATTAGTCCTGGGGAAGAGGTTCCTCACCTCTGATGCAGAGAAATCGACTGAAAGAAACTGACCATGACTCACAATTGTCTCCCAAGTGATACCAGATCCTAACTGGTTCTAATTGCTTAAGATGTTAAGATCAAATCATATTCTGCAAGTGTCTCATTTATTTATTTTATATCCCATCTTTCCTCACCAAGGAGCCCAGTATGGCAAACACAAAGCAATAAAACATTTAATAAAAATAAAACAAAATTCCATATAGCAACAGACTGGGAAAGAAGACCTCTACTTAATTAAGGCCAGATGACCATTACTTAATTGAGGCCAATTACAGAAGAGGTGGCCATGATGAGCTAAGTTTGGAGAGGAGCCTCTGCTCTCATGACATCTCAGGGTGCATTGCATCTTGCATGGCCCAGTGGGATCTTGTAAGAGGATTGTGGTGGTAGGAACCTTTAAAGAGTCCTGTCGCTGCCTCACTCACCCCCTTTGATTCTTCTTCAGGTGAAAGAAATCTTCCTCAGCCCTCCCTCCCACAGTTTAGACACTCCCACAAAGGCTTGATGCAGCCACTGGTTAACTGGGTCAGAAAGAAAGAAAGAAAAGTATCTGAAGGTCCGGGCATCATTTTTGCAATTGAAGGTCAGGTATTGCCAAAGAACATCCCCATTGTTTGGCATTTTATGCTTTTTAAAGAGTAGGCCTAGAAATGATTTGTTAGCTCCTATATAGAGAATATTTCTTCTTTTAAAATATATGAATATATACTTAGTGGCGGATAATGAAATTTACGCACCTATTGGCTTCTTTTCGTTGGCTGTGTTGAAAATTAGGTTTGAGTTTATAAGGTTAATACAATTTCTTTCCTCTGTATCTTGTCTTGTTTATAGGATTTCGCATCTGATTATCACATGTCGACTTTGAGCCAGGAAAACATTTGTTTGATAAATCTGCATCCTATTCTATTGCTATGACCTATGGTTAAAGCAACCACATCTCGTCAGCTCTCTATGTATCATCCTCTTGCATGTCTTTAATGTTTTGTAGCCCATTAGAATTCATTCTTTTATCAATTGTCTATTTAAAACACACACACACACACACACACACACACAGATTAAATCTCATCTCAGTACGATTTCTCTTATGATGAGATCTTCATGATCAGGAGCGTTCAAGAGAAATTCCAAACCTTTCAACTTTGCACCATGCTCTGCAATGACTATTAATCGGAAACCAAGGAGGAGCTATGCAGGTAGGAGGGGACTCAATTGTCAGTGGCTCCCTTAAACGTCTGTCCAATATGGACTCTGATCTGTGATGTAGTGTTGTTGTTTTGTTTGTGTGTGAGATCTTACTCTCAATTCAGACACTGGGATTATCAAGGAAGGTTTACCCCCTGTGCCCCTGAGTGGCAATAGCTTCATTGATGGATAATTGAGTGAGGAGTGGTGGAACATTAGGTTGGTGTCTCTATACATCACATCGATAAATACAGTTATCCAGCGAACAACCCCAACAATGTCTCTGGACTAGAGATGAATTGGCTCCAGGGCAATTGCCTCAGAAAGAACTGTGTGCTTGAGTGGTTTGACCTTGGTACGGACATGCATTTAAGATTGTTCTCTTGAGATTGCAGTAGATTATTCAGTCTCGTAGATGGGCTGTGGCACGCATATCCACGCAGTGTTCACACTTTCACATGCAAATATTATACACACACACACACACACACACACACATATATATACATACATACAGTGGTACCTCTGGTTAAGTACTTAATTCATTCCGGAGGCCTGTACTTAACCTGAAACTGTTCTTAACCTGAACCACCACTTTAACTAATGGGGCCTCCTGCTGCTGCTGTGCCGCCGGAGCCCAATTTCTGTTCTCATCCTGAAGCAAAGTTCTTAACCTGAAACATTATTTCTGGGTTAGCGGAGACTGTAACCTGAAGCGTCTGTAACCCGAGGTACCACTGTATTAGCCTGTGTCTGAATGACAGACCACTGGCGAAACCCATGTATCCTGAAGTTACATAAGGTTAAGGTAAAGACATCTGCACACGTTCACCATTATATTTACCATTTACCATTATATTTATTAATATTTATCATTATATTTATTAATATTTACCATTAACTCACATTTGCCAGAGCTCTGGTATCAAAAACAAATCCCAAGGTTGATATTTATCCCGCTGGCTGATATTAAAACTCTAGTAGATTTTTTCTTAAAGGAAGGGAAGGAAGTTCTCTCCACAGGGACATTTTCCTAAAATGCCTCTTGCGCTGAGAGAGCCACAAAGCTTTGGAGCCAGAATATCCACTAGATGGCATTGTTATTTAAGATTGTAATAGAATAGCATGAAATTCTGCACAGGCTTTCCAGCTCTGAATCATCTGTGGAGCAGATGAAGCAACAGCAGACTTCTTAGGGTGTACTTGATGAAGGAGCTCTCTGAGAGAAAGTCTGCTGCACAATGTATTTTCCCTCTTTCACAGAGCTTCTTTTGTACATCTATTCCATCTTATGTGAAACTGCGAGAGTACATGCCTTATCCCACTGTTCCTGACACTGAGCAATGGAAAATGTGTAATATTCATGTGTTGGGTTGGGGGGAATGAAGAAAGAAAATGTAGTACATTTTTCCTCCATTACTGCTAGGGTTTTATGTGCGGGAAATTTCTTAAAACATCATTGCATTCTGTCTCATTCATATTTTATACATATATATCTCCTTGTCTGTTCCTATTTTCTGCTGTGCCTGTAACTGATTTTCCTTCCACCCCCCGCTTTAAAAAAGGTATCTGAAGTTATAAGTGGGTCTGGTTGAATAATGTTTTAATAATATCCATTGCAGATACAGCCCTTTTATCTGTTCTCACATTGTTTGAGTTCCTGTTTCTTCATTATTCAGAAGCCTGCTACAAATTGTGTGGAGTTTAGCCATGCTGGAACTGGGTACAAAGTATACCGTTATTTGGTGATAATAAATTCATGATACATTAGCTGCCCAACTTGATCACATTTATCTTATGTGTGAAACATTGTAAAGCATATGAATGGCCAATGGGAATTAATACAGCCCTTCATAAATCGTTGTAGAGAAGAAATTAGCCGCGTTCCAGTTTTGTGAATACTTAATGCTGGGAAACCATATCAGATTAAGCCTGAACACAGCAGGGACTCACATTCATGGGGAGACTGCAAACACACAGGAAAACTTATCAGCCAGTCTGCTGCTGGTGCTACTGACGTTTGAGGTCCCAATGAAGGAAAATAGGGAGGACCTCTCCATATAGTCAAGTGAAGAGTCTCAGCTGTCGTCTTGGTATCATCCCTCTGACTATTGATACTGCTCATTAGTCACTGCTATGCAGCAGCAGTAGACAATGATAGTACTGGTGGTAGGAAGCAACAGCATCGCCACAATCTGACAACCACATACCCTAGATATTTAAAATGTGTTTTGATATTATGATTTGTTATCTTGTCTCCAGAACTGGCTCATCTGATGCCGCAGAGCCACTTCACTGGTTCCTGGCAGGGAGATCACTATTGTTTACTGAGATGGGGAGGTGGGGAGAAGATTGGCACCAGCAGGGAATACTCATGAGCCACTTCTGCTTATCTTACCACCCAACTCTGGATCAGGCTATTGTGTTGAGAGGTGGGGGACAAGCCATCTCATAAATAGAAGCATGAAATAGTAAATTTAATTGAAGCTGTCAACATCTGAAGACCTTATGTAAGATAGAATGCTTCTGTGAACCTCTTTCTTTGTCCTAATCATTGGTCCTTGGTCAGACCACACCTGGAATACTGTGTTCAGTTTTGGATGCCACAGTTTAAGAAGGATGTTGACAAGCTGGAATGTGTGCATAGGATGTTGGCTCAGATGATCAAAGGACTAGAAACCAAGCCTTATGATGAACCATTGAGGGAGTTGGGTATGGAAAGGAGGAGACCGAGTGGAGATATTATAGCAGTCTTCAAATATCTAGAGGGGACAGAACAAACTTGTTTTCTCCTGTTCTGGAGGGTAAGATTCAAACCAATGGATTCAAGTTACAAGAAACACCAGGAAAATTTCTGACAATAAGAGCTGTTTGACAGTGGGACAGACTCCCTCAGGAGGTTGTGGACTCTCCTTCATTGGTTATTTTTAAGCAGAAGTTGGATGTCCATCTGTCATGGATGCTTTAGTTGAGATTTCTGCATCACAGGGAGTTGGACTAGATCAGGCATGGCCAAACTTGGCCCTCCAGCTATTTTGGGACTACAGTTCCCATCATCCCTGACCACTGGTCCTGTTAGCTAGGGATGATGGGAGTTGTAGTCCCAAAACAGCTGGAGGGCCAAGTTTGGCCATGCCTGGACTAGATGATCCTCTGAGTCCCTTCCAACTCTACACTTCTATGATTCTATGATTTGGCCTTATTAAAAATTTCTATGAAATTCTAAAATGTGCATTCATAATGGATATTCCAGCTAAAGTGAACAAATCAATAATGATGATGATGACGCTTTTCAAGTATTCAAGTTGCATTCAGTTGTGGAGCAGACGAATATGAAGCATTAGTATTTTAAATTAGACTGTCTTGCATATTTAAACACAACACATTCTCTTCCTTTCTCTACACCTTTCCTCTTTCAGCCTTCCATGTTGTGTTTAATCAGCTCATCATTATTCAAAGGCTTTCCCCATCTAAGTGTTTAGAAGTCCTGACTGAGTATGTTTCATTAGAATTAGAATTACTCTTCCATTGCTTGAATTCAATTTTCTGTCCTCTAGTTAAAGGACTTTTTAATAAAGAGACTCACTCTATTGCCATAAGCCCTTCACACTTGCTGTGTTGCAACACTGGTGCCTGTAACTACACTTGGAAAATTAAGAGACTTAAATTCAAAATCCTATCTTTGTTATCTAATCCTGGTCTTCTTCATATAGTTGCTAGTATTTGTACATCCACAAATCTCCCCTTTAATTAAAGCCCTTTCCAGACATTCTTGGATTTAATGAATCCACAGAGGGAGGCTGATATAGTCATGTCTGCTGCCCTTGGCCCCATTACTATATTTTTAATAGTTGTGATCTGTCCTAGGACCTTGAGGTGAAGAGTGGGTAATAAACAACAACTTCCACATATTCCAGCATGTACTAAGAAATGCACATAGGCTTTTGTACCCACAAACAATACCATAGAAAACGGATGCATCTGATTATTCATACAGGAAGGAGCCTACATATATAGATCCACTCTGTACACTTGACTGTATTGAGGTTTGTCTTTGCTTAAGTAAGGGCTTAGCTGAATAATAAGCTTCGGAGTAAAGATGGCCAAATTCAGTTTCTTAGGTTTCCTACCTATATATTTTTAACAAGAATGTCTTGTGACACTTCGTCAACATTTCTTTGCACATTCTTCTGAAATACCTAATCTGCAAGTTATTTCCCACAACATAATTCATTTTTCACTAATATATTAATTTTATGCACTTATCCCTAATGTACACAAAACTGCATCACAAAATTCAGAGAACCAAACTGAATTTCTGCCCCATCTCAAGACATTAGACTTCTTAGACACTAGCGGAGAGGTGTAGCTTAGGCCAGTCTATATGAGAATTCATGAAGCAGGAATGCTTAAGGAATTTGATCTTCACAACTTCCCCTGAAATGGCCTGAGCCACTTCTGGACGATTAATTTACAGAATTATCTCTCTACAACATTTCACATTTCTCTAAACGCTGCAACTAAGTATTTTGAGAGAAAATATACTATCTTGAGGAAAAATACGGTTTACATTACATATTTGAATGCCTATTTTGGAGGTGTTTGTGTTTTAAAGCAGATTAATGAGAAAACAGAACTGTGGGTAAAAGCAAGGGCAAATGTCATAGTTCAGGGCAGGCTGAGGTTAAGTTGAAAGGCATGTTTGGGGCAGACAGAGAAAGATCAGAAGACCTAGACATAGTTAACATTGTCCAACATGGGCAGAGGCTGATTCCAGAAGACTGCAGCTACTGCATTTCCTCAGATTGATATGTTGGTATAGAACCAGCTCTCCAATGGTTGCTCAAATCACATGGTTCATGTGGACTGATAAACTGCAGTAAGCCTCTTTGACCATTTATGGTGCTGCAACATCATAAAAATTCCAGACTAAGGGCTGCCTTAGTAGCCAGAAATCAACACCAAATAAACAATTACCCATTATTAAGTAATAACCAGTGTTAAAGCCAGTTAAATTTTATTTATTATTATATTAGCCACCTCATAAAGATTTGGATCTGTCTTCTTGCTGCACAAAACCAAAGTGACAGACAAGAATTTAATTAGCTCAGCACTTTGGCCATAAGCAAAAAAGCACTGATATCATATTTACACATGTTATCAAATGAATATATATAAAAATATATTACATATCCCCTTCTGGATCCTATTAAATATATTTTAATTTGACAGTTTCGCACCCAGAGTGAGGTAAATAAATTTGAGAAAAA